AAACATCGGGCAGTGTAAGACATGACAAAATAAAAATAATTTATAAATTATCAAGGGTTCATGATGGAGGGAGAGTGGGGGAAGGAGGGGAAAAAATGAGAAGCTGATACCAAAGGCTCAAGTAGAAAGAAAATGTTTTGAGAATCAGAATGGTATCAAATGTATAAGTGTGCTTGACACAATGGATGTATGTATGGATTGTGATAAGAACTGTACAAGCCCCCAATAAAATGACTGAAATGAAAAATGTATGCCTCCTTACAACAGATTTTCTGCAACATCCCCATAAAAAATAAGTCTATGGTACAATCCCACCCCCCAACTGTTGTATGCAATACACATGAGTATAACTAAGACTACTTGCTTGAGAACACAAAGTTAACCTGATCCTTTTGACTGCCATAACAATAGGTAGCTATTAAAATTAAAATGGAATGTAACAAGTTATTCTGAAGTCCTGTCATGTTCATTAAATGGTATTCTACTTGTAATTTCTTAATCTTTTGCTCCTTTCAAACAGTTACCCTTTTCCAAGCCAAATTTTATCAAGTGAGCTGAGACTTATCATAGAGCACATAAAATCCATCCATCCATTTCATGTGCCAGTATGATGCAATTAATTTCTAAAACAACCTAATCTTAGGCTGACAGTATTTTAACACACTCATTCAACACGTCCTTGGTGCAAGGCCCTGATATGAATGAATCTCAAAAGCATAATGTTAAATGAAAGGCACAGAAAGACTATGCCCTTTTAAGATTCCATTCACATGGCATTCTAGAAAAAGCGAAATTATTTTAAGATCTACTACTTTAAGGAAAACAGATCAATGGTTCCAGGAATGGAGGAAGTTGGAGGGAACTGATTATGAATAGACATGAGCAAAATTTGGGAGGTGATGAAAATGTATATATCACAATTTTGGTAGAGGTTGCATGATTCTGTGTACATAGTTCAAAACTCAAACTGCAACTTAAAAATTATTTTAATTCAAATGAGACAAACATTATATGATACCACTTACAAAAAATATTTAGAATAGATGCAGAGAGACAATCATTTATTGCTGTGGTGAGGTGCTGTCAAGCTGGTTCTGGCTCATAGCAACCCTATGTGCAACAGAATGAAATACTGCCCAAGTCCTGCACCATAGTTGTCCTTATGTCTGAGTCCATTGTTGCAGCCGCTGTGTCAATCCATCACTTATTAGTGTTTACCAGTTCACATTAAGAAGTCACTTTGAAGACTAAGATACACCAGATCCAAACCATGGTATTTTCAATTGCAATTTCCATTTTCTATGAACTTTTGAAGCCCTCTCACATATGCATTCCTCTTATCGCTCTTTCTTTTTTTTTTTTTCCTGATCAAACTCCATTTATTTGGGCAAAGCTGGGGCATATAAAGGGGAACTGGGAGGTGCATATTTTAATAAGGTGTGCTACACAACATCCAATCCAACATGTACATTAATGAAGCATAAGAACATTAACCAATCAGCTGCAGGTAAAAAGGCGCGCGCTAATTCTCAAAGACGTCCTGCGTGCAGACTAAGGTGCATCAGGCCTTAAAGCAAAGTCCATCTTAGTCCAATGAGTGCTCGGCATTATTAACCAATGGGTGAAAAAGGTCAACTCTAACAACTGCCTGTGCTACAGAGCACGTAGCTAGGAACGTGGAGGTAGGGTTGGGCAGGAATTAGGCAGGGCCAGTCCCCCACAGGTTTAGCAAATGAAAGACGACACTTAACAACCAGGAAGCAGCCAAGTTCGGCTCCGTGGCTGAGGCTAAGGCCTTAATGGCCACCGGCTCCCAACAGAGTTACAGTCTCTGAAACCCCAAAGGGCAGGTCTACCCTGTAGTATAGGGAGGGATATGAGTCAGAATTCAATCAGGGTAGGGATTTGTGTGTTTTTTAGCAAAGTTTAGAAATGAGGCCTGACGTGAACAGGGGCCAGAGCTGCTCAGGTAGTGAGTGTGGGGAAATGGATTCAGAGATCAGACTTGCTCCTAAGCCTCAATGACGACAGGGGTGAGGAAGCTCATTCTCAGGTGGGTAAACCTGGGCCTTCCTGTCCTCGCCTTGTCACGCTTTCTCTCGTCTTGATGTTCCCATCCTAGCACAGGTCCAGTGGTAGGATCCTCTCCCACCTCGATCTCGTCAGTATCCTTTTACTACCACACACTCCGTTGTACAAGAAGCTTAACTTTCCCCGGTCACTGGGATGAACACATATGTAACAGAATATCTGCCATGGTGCACTCTCCGGTGTGGACTTCGGTGACATGGGCTCATCATGTTGAGCCACTGTCCCAGTGTGTCTTTCCCGATGTTCCCATCGCCCTGTACAGGAGCTCAGTGCCCCCTCTTCCTTCGCTCCCACCCAGCCCTGGTAGGCACTGCTTCACCCAGGTCTGCGTGCATGCACCTGTTCTTGAGAGCCGAGGGGGATGCAACCCTACAGCATTTGTCTTTTCATGCCTGACCTCAATTCCTCCCAGAAATTAATTTCATTTTCTAACTAGATTTTCATTGTGGCTCTAAATTTTTGCCCATTTAAGAATTTTCCAGTGTAACATGATGGGTTTCAGGCAGTTTTCTTCACCAATTTACATGCCTCATGACCCCAGTCAATCCAGCTCAGGGTGGGCAGAGCACTGGGAGGGGCACCCAGTTTAGGTCAGCTCTGGTTTCTCCTACACCTGTGTCATTCTTGGCTTGGGACGCTGGTCTGAGGCTTGTCTCTCCGGAAAGGGAGGCCGGCTCACATGTCTTCTATTGCCAGTTGCCACAGCGTGTACCTAATTTGGGGTCAGCTCCTCTTTTCAGATGGACACGCGGTCACAGTGCAGCACGAGGCTGCGCACCCCAAGGTTGGTAGGAAGCGTGCAACAGTGCCTTGGCGGGAGAGGGAGCTGGTGGACGGGCACAGATGGTGCCTGACTCGCAGTGACCTGGGGGACAGAGTCGGGCTCTTCTTGTGGGTTTCCCAGACTGTAGCTCTTTACGGAAGGAGAAGGGCAGCTGCTGGTTTCAAACTGCTGCCCTGCCGTTAACTCATCCTGCCCCAGGGCTCCCATTGTTGTTAGTGGTGACCGACCACGATCCGACTCAGAGAGATGGGATGTGTAACAGAAAGGAACACCACCCTGTCCTGAGCCAGCCCCATGATTGTTAGGTGTAAGCCCACGGTTGTAACTGCCCTGTCAATTCCTCAGGGACCTTCCTTCTCGCTGACCCCCTTTATCAAACGTGGGATTCCTCTCCAGGGTCCCTCCTGATGAGACGGCCAGAGTAGAGACGGCCGATCTTCCTCCTACGGAGTGGTTGGTGGGTGTCAAGACCTAACCTGGCAGTCCGCAGTCTGACACGTTCTTGTACCTTCTCTCCCCCCATAGAGTTGATTCTGACCCCTACCAAACCCTTAGGACAGGGGGGAAGTGCCCGTGTGGGATTCTGAAACTGCACCCCTGGATGGGTGGAGAAGGCGTCATCTATGTGGTTTTGAACTGCTGAACCTGCTGCATCTTAAAGTGTAAAAATTACACCCCTGTAGTAAATTAGTTTGGAAAAATCAATAGCCAGACAGCTTGGGTAATTTGTTTTTCTTTCATTTATGCAAGTATTTATCAATAGATATTAGGTATGTAATCGATTATATGTGTTTATATATATAAAATATATATTGATTCCCTTACACACCATTAGAGGAAATGGGTATATAAATAGTTATATAAATATTCAAGTCCCGATCTTCAGTTATTACCTAGAAAAATAGAAAAATCTTAATTTATATAACTGTAATCACCATAATATTATTTCCAAATTAGAAATATAACACATTATCTTGCTAATTGTACATTTAGCAAAAGAC